TAAGACTTGTGGACTTCAACTCCCAGAATTCCTCAGCCAGCAAAGCTGGCTGAGGAATTCTGGGAGTTGAAGTCCACAAGTCTTAAAGTTGCCAAGGTTGGACACCCCTGCTTTACAGTATTCACTGAGTGGCTTACAAATGTCAGCATATATGGGTCCTCATTTTATCGACCTTCGAGGGCTGCATCGAGCTTGAGCCTGTCAGGATTGAACTCCTGAGTACAGGCAGAGTTAGCCTGCAATGATGCAGTCTAACCACTGGGCAAGCTCAATCTCATTTGATGGACCATTTGAGTAAATTTACAGCTCATCTACAAACTTCACAGCATTCCTCATCCATGTGATCGCCATTGCAGACAGTATGTGTTTGCCTTGTTCCAGACATATGGTTTTTTTTTTTCTTTTTTCCCCACTGTGGAGATGAAAGATTAGAGAGAAACTGATTGCAAAAAAGTAAGCCGTTTGCTCTAATACATATTGAAAACAATGAAATTGTGCTGGCCACAGACTCACTATAGAAACAGCTTATAGTATTCTTTTGAAATCTTTCTTTCCAATTTCTTTGTTTTGCAAGGGGGGGGGGGGGGAGAAAGCAAGCAATTTGTACAGGCAAATTTGTCTGCCTAATCTGTCCTGCCACTGGTGCAATTGCACTGCTTTTGACTTGTAGAAAGCAAAGTTTCATCTCAGGAAAAAAATTTTCTTCAATTTCTCTGCTGGGAAGGGAGGTCAAGTAAAGGAAAGATTGCCTATAGAAATTGGTCGATTCCAACCAGTGGTGGGATTCAAAAAAATTATACGACTGGTTCTGTGGGTGTGGGTTGGTGGGCATGGCGTGGGTTGGTGGGTGTGGGTTGGTGGGCATGGCAGGGGAAGGATACTGTAAAATCTCCATTCTCTCCCCACTCCTGAAGGAAGGTTACTGCAAAATCCCATTCTCTCCCCACCCCACTAACCTGCTTTCCAGTTCTGCTCTCCTGTGCAGGGCAACAAAAGAAGACTCAGACAATCAGCTGGGACTCGGCAGGCAGAAAATATAGATGGGTGTGGGACCAGTCAGAGGTGGTATTTGCCGGTTCTCCGAACTACTCAAAATTTCTGCTACTGGTTCTCCAGAATTGGTCAGAACTTGGTAAATACCACCTCTGATTCCAACCACCATCACCCTTTTGCAAAGCAAAGAGATTGGAGAGAAAGAGATTTCAAGAATTGTTTGTCCTTTTACACATTAAGAACAATGCGATCGTGCCAGCAACCTAGGGCTAAAGTTGTAAATGCACTATGAAAATAGTTGAAAGTTATTGAAATCTTTTCCTCTGCTCTACAGAAAATTGGAGGGAGGTGTTTTAAAAAATAAGCAAGCAATTTATGTAGGTAATCTATTTTTTCCAGCTGCTGGTGCTAATTCACCAGTTGTAGTAGTAATAGTACTATTATACTATACTATACTATAGTATACTATAATATAAGCCTAATAAGCCTAAAATAATCCTATCTATTATTTTGAGAAATAACATTTTGCATAAAAATAGGATTAAATTATGTCTCAAAGATTTTCTCCCAAAGTCTTACCTATTTTAATGTGTATGTCTAAAGATAATTTTTTCCCTTCTATATACAGTAAAATGTAATTTACTATTATGCAAGTTAATTCTTTCCTTACCCTTTCCCCATACTAAGATATTTCCACTTGAATCTCCTGTGATTGTATCACCATTTTCAGAAAATGTCACACACAAGACAAACTTTGGCTTTTCTTGTTTCTACAGGATAAAATAAAACATCGCTGAACAATATACTTTTATTATATATTTCATATATTCTGTTCAGTTACCTATGTATTAACTATTTAAAAAACACTGCTTTTCTCCCTAATGGAGAAAAAAATAAATACAGTAACATTTAAAAGAACAATGCCTTGTGTTCATGGTTTAAAAGCGACAAAGTTATATTACAATCTTAATGTAGTAGACAGGGGTACCACACTTAAGGTCCAGAGGCTGGATCTGGCCCGTGGGGTGCTTAGATCGGGCCTGCGGGGTTGCCCTGGAAACAGTGAAGGACTGCCTCTGCCAGTGAAAACTGAGCTCGGGATGGTCACCCATGGCCCTCCCTAGCTCCATTTTCACTAGCAGAGAGTTGCAGGATGCTGTCGCAGCAAAAAACTGAGCTGGGGAACCCATTTTTGCTGCCAGAGCACTCGGGAACAGTGATGTCAAGCTGGCCATGCCCATCCTGGCCACACCCTCTCCAGTCCCCCAAGGTCAAACACAACCCTGATGCGGCCCTCAATAAAATCGAGTTTGACACCCCTGTAGTAGAACAACTGTATATGTATAAATTATATGAATAGCCTACATTGTATATATACTTTCTCTCCCTAGTCTTGACTTGTTGCTCCTAAAAAACAATGTAATATCAAGAGCCACTGTCTATTAACTAAGAGGCTTGAAAGATAATTGATGATATTTGGCAAAAAAAGTGTACGAACAAATGTGATTTTAAAAAATATCTTTATATTAAATATTAACTCAGGAAAATGGCAAGGAAATAGAGAAAGATAGAGGGAAACCTCCACTTTAAGGTTTATCAAGCAAAAGGGAAAAGAAATAATAAAAGACATAGCATGACAATGTGCAAAATAGGATCCTATTTAGCACAAAAAGATTACTAAAATAAGAAAGTGATCTTAGTAGTAAAAGAATATCTTAACAGTGCAATCATCCCATAGTTTTACCCATAGTTTTAATAATACAGTAAATTTTTGATTCACTCTTTTATATTATTCTTAGCTACGTAAGTAATTCCAAAATAAAACAGACTTCACTTAATCATGATTAAGTAGATAGTTAACACTTAATACTTTAAAATAATTAAATTACTGATTTTGTGGTTTCTAATGAGAAATATCATTTTGCTGGGATTTAAAAAAATAAAATCATGCAGTAAGAGGAAGGTTGCTACGGAATAGTTCAAGATACAAAAGGAATAAAGAAATAAATTCTCTGTTTACGACTTCATGTTTCTAAAGAACAACAACAGAGCAAAACTGGGAAACAGAATATTAACATTCCTCTGATGATCCTCTGGCTGCAAGAGAAAAAATTAAACAAGAACATAAACATTTGTACCTCAAATAATCCCTGCTTTTTGATAAGAGAATTCCCTTCAATTGTCCAAAAATAAAGATGAGATTTTCCACATGTAACTATTATGTTAGTGTCTGTAGGGTGAAAATCAGCGGCAAATACTGCTTCATTAGAGCACTAGAAGAAGAAGAAATATTTTAAATTTGGAAACAAAGCAATAATTTTAATATTAAGTTCTAAGAACTCCTTGTTTGATACCATATCAGTGCACTGTGATTTTTGAATTTAATTTAAAACAAAGACAAAATACTTCACGTAAAGGTTTGTAAAATGTGATATGTCTTAAAAGAATATAACTTTTACATATGCAGTCTACTTACACGTACAAATGAATAAGGATTGTTTAAAGTTTTATGATTTTTTCATACACGAATCTCAAGTTCCTGGTTTGTTGCAAAGTGTGGATTTTACACCAAAAACGATAAATTTGCACCTTGTACAGTGCCTACAGACCCAGGAGGTCCTGGTTCAGTTTAGAAATGAGAACTATGAATGTGCTGTTTTCTTCATTTCCACTTTATCCATACAAAACAAGTTTCTTATGATTTCTTCCACTAATAAGTAAACTTTTCTTACAGATATACAGAAGAGGCAGAATATTTTCTCCCATAGCATTAATTTATAATGAAGAATACATGTCAACAGGAAAATGATTTAACAGCAAGACTAGTGGTCATATCAACAAGATGTTTGAATGATAGCGAAATATTATGGATATTTTTTGACCACAAAAAAAAAAAATAATCCTGCTGGTCTCAAGTACAACACACAAATGTAAAGTACCTTGACCTCTGCAACTTTTTCTTCCCTCTGCCAGTCCCATACTGAAAGCACATGGTCATTGGAGTCATCCACTGAGCACAAGTTACTGCCTCCATTCTGAAATAAAACATGAAGTATTCCATTATCCCTCAGTTGCTTGCTATTTCAAAACCAAGTGATTGATAGCATTCATCTTCAATTACAGTTTTGTACTTATGAATGCTTGTCTGAAAAAAAACGGTGTATCTTGAGAATGTTGAAATTAAATAGCTTAAACAATGATGTATTTTAATGTAAAATGCAAACTGTGAATTTTAAAACAAATGAAATAATCTGATTCTCTTTCTGCATTCAGCTAATTCCACAGATTACGCAATGGGATAAGGGACAGAAAGGCCTGTTTTCTTCATCTAATATCCAAAAATAAAAGTAAAAAATCATATCCAAAAATAAAAGTAAAGAAATGTGAAAAATATACAGATAGCTATTTAATGATATTATATAACAACATTTATACCTATAAATATGTTTGAAAACTATGTTCTTATATTTAAAACTTCCTTAATTAGGTAAAGATTTCAATCAAACAAAACTAATTCATATTGTTCAGATACAATCTCTAGAAACAAACAGTATTATATACCATCCATTGTAAAATCAATTCAATCAACATTTACAGTTAGAAAGGAAGAATTTCCAGTTGTCTTAAAGGAAAAAATAGTCCAGTTGCCTTTTGAAAAAGCACATTTGAGGCATCTATGACTTGGATGACTGAGAATCTCTGTAGACATTCAGCAGTCTTAATTTTAAAAACTTATAATTGGCCCTGAAAATCTTACAAAGCACATTAAATATATATTAAATGTTACTCACTGATTTAGAAAATGCAATGCATGTAACAGCTCGATCAAAGAATCCCATGCCAATTACATGTAGTGTATTCAAAGTAACAGAATCCCAAATGCGGATATGAGGCAGTAATTGCTGTGAGAATGAGCAAACAAAAATAGATGCTTTAAGGCAGAGTTCAGAACATAAACAATTCTCAACATCCTAGATGGAATGCACAACATTTTCAATTTGCAGAAACAAAGGTAAGAAAAAAAAGAGGTTTTATTCTATGGTGAAATTATTACAGCAATTTGTTCCTTGAATATTTTAACAACAGCCATTATTCTGTTTGAAGTCATTAGCTCAGTTCAAGGCAAATGAGGTACTCTGAACAACAGTCCAGTCTATGCCAAAGTTTGAAGGTACAACAATTAACTATGGGCATACTGCTGCTAAAAGTTTTAGGATACCTGCCCATGTAGAACTGCACTGATCTGGCATTGGCATATAAGCTGTGCCACATGGCAAAATGTCCACTGTATGATTTGCTCTGCACAGTTTGGAAGCAGTCTATTTTTCCTTTGGTAGAAACTCTTCCTTCATTCTTCCTCCTATTCTCTGCACATCAAGGTCCCAGTAGATTTCATAGACAACCTTATTCATGAACACAGATTCAATATTTTAGTCAATGTCACAATCCCTGTTTTTAAAAAATCTTGGCTTAATTCTACCTGCTTATATAAACCATGTTTTGAACTCTTATCTTAACCCATCTTCGGCCAGTTGCTGTTGTTGTTAGCATATGGTGTCACAGTAGCCAGAAGACCACAATACTATTGCAGAGTAATGGTTTGGCTTGCTAAGGTACCAGCTCAGTTATAGGAAATGCTGCTGCGCTTCCCAAAGTGTGCCACACAAGGGCAAGCTGGCTTTGCACCAAAGAGAAAGATGAGTGGATCTTTCTGCAGCGTCACCCAGGCCCCCCTCCTTTTCCAGAGCTGTCTTGCAAATGGGTGCCACAACTGGGAAGGTTCATAACTGACTGCCTACATAGAGCATCAGCTTGTCTCCTCACCAAACCTATTGTCCATTTGCATAGAATATACTTTCAAATTGTTATGTGGACAGAAGCTGAGACAAATGACAACTTACCCTGACATGATGTACTAGGGCTTGAACTGCTGGAGTTGAGACCATCTCCAGGGTCATTAAGCCACTGAACCACCGCACCTCTCCTGACCAGTGAGTTCAAACAAATCTATACTGTGATTTACCTTGCAATAAAAGTACCCGGCTAAAAGCTATGGTTCCATATCATCATCACTACTTTTAATAGAAATATTTATGCCAGGAAAAATAACATCTTGATATTTTGCACTTTTCCTTCATAACCAAACCTCATTTTTTTTGCAAAACAGTCAAACATATACATGCAGTCAAAAAATGGAAGTGGTGTTTAGAACTTTATTTTCCCTGTTTTTGTGTAGAGCAGTAATGGGATTATTTGGTTATTCCATAAATTTATGTAGTTGGAGAAGAAGGGACCGACTGAGGATTTCTGTATTTTGGTCAGCTTGAGGGGCCACTAATCACCTCATAATATTCCCATGTTTTCAGTGATCCAATGTCATTGACGCTAAAACAATTCTATTCAAATTCTTTGGAAAATGGTAATAGCACTACAGTTCAAATGGCAGAGGCTATAATTAGTGCAATGAATTTGTTGGAGGTCTTAACTGAAATAACTCTTTTAAGCGTAGAGTCTCATTTGAAGTGCAGATATTAGAGTTATGGAGTGTTTGAGGTTAAAGGCAAAAAGATGTTTTGGAATGCATGAAGAGTAGCACCTACTTGCAACTCTTTAATCAAGCACATTCTTATTTCAGAATTGCAAACTGGTGCTACACTCCCACATGCATTGAAGCAATCCAAAGTCCTAATGGGAATAAAGCAAATGCATTATCAAAAAATCTAACTTTGAAAAATATTCAAAGTATACATGTGAAGAATTATCAATATTCTAACATTCTGGTGCTCAAATTATTGGGAAGAGAGAAGGGTCCCTGGTATTTTTGGAGGGCACTGGAGGAGGGGAATATGAGTTGTCTAAAATTAATAGGAATCTATTTGAGTTGATGAACATATTGTGTCCCTTTCCATAATATGAAAATTCTAAAGTTTTATATAAATGCTTTCTCTATTTTCTTGTTATAGTAAAACTAATTATATATACTTTTTTGTGTGGGCGACACCTTCAAGTCAGTGTTGACTCTTAACAACTGCCTGGACAAATCCATGCAATTTTCTTGGCAAACCTTCAGAAGTGGCTTGCCATTCTTATCTATAAATTGTATAAAATCTTCAAAATGATAAAATAATATTTTTAAAAATTAAATAACCTTATAGATTAAAAACTTAGTCATAAAGAAATGTTCTTACAAATTATGATTAATTGCAGATCCAATCTGCATTTTGAGTGCCCTTGTATGATTCTAATTTGACATACAAACATATTTTCATATAATATATACATGCAATGCATTTACAGGACCACTAGAGAGCAATCTTTGTAAATTTAAGCCTCAACTACAACTTGTACAGGAGATAGAAAATATTTATATACTGATGACTGAAGTTAGTGCAATGGGCTAATTCACCAGATCTTAATGCATCTTTTTAAACATTTTCAAGGAAACTATTTTACATTGTATCCAATTTAAGAATTAAACCCATGTTATGTAATTAAATGACAAACCAGATAGCTGTGGAAAGCCCAGAAATAGAATGTAAGTACTGTATAATGGAATCCCTTATGCGAGCAGCAGACCGGCATGCACATGCCCGAATGCCCGCTGGCACACCACTTGCACAAGTTGAACTGTGCACAGACTGCACACGCTCCAACCAGCCACTCATGTGATCCAACTCTGAAAAGGCCATGGCCTGGTAGTGGAGTATGGCCTGGGGGTTGTGGACCACTGATATAGACAACACTTCACCATAATAAAAAAGGACCAATCATAGAACACCTGTAGGACCATCAACAACACTTTCAAAAGACTCTGGTTTACCAGAAAAGAGGAAAACAACAACTCACTATCCTTCCTGGACATCCTGACCAGCAGAGACCAGAAAGGCAAACAAGAAACACAAGTGTACAGAAGAACCACCCACACCATCCAAGTGCTCCACATCAAAGCAACAATCCAACCTCCCACAAGAGAAGCTGCATAAGAACTTTATTTAGACTAGCACAAACTCACTGCAGCAACCCTGAACAGCAGAAAAAGGAAACAGAGCATCTATACACCATATTCCAACAAAATGGATATCCATGCAACTTTATCAAAAAGTGTCTGACCACTCGACCCAATACAGCACAACCAAGGTCTAAAAAGAATAACACTGCCATACATCAAGAACATTTCAGAAACAGTAAGCAGCCTAACCAAAGAACCTCTAAGATCACTCCCACAAATACTGATCGGGCAAGTCACTAGAATATAATGTAATGAAACATCTGAACGAAAACAACCAAGTTCAGAGAGCACCAAGGTCCCCTCATTTCAATCCTGAACTACAAATATTCTCCTTTAATGGTATCTGAAAGCTTCATTTTGAAACAAATTATTGTCATACCAAATAATGCTATACATTGGAACTATCACATAAATGAATAGCCCGGATACTGAATTCAAAATAATTTACAACCATGTTTCTAATATTTAGAAAATTTATGAAGCTTTATGAAATGTCCAAATCAAAGTTATAACAAGGCACAGACATTTAAGCAAAGGCAACACTGATACAGTTTTAGACTGAAAATATACCTGGAGTATGAAACCTAGGAGCAATTTCAACTTCTTTCATATATTTCATTAACCAATTACTATCTTATTTACTAAAGCAAATATTAGGAATTTATTTCAACAGTTGCTCTATCAATATTAAAACAATCTTAGCACAAGCAAGAACAATTTCATTTCAAGGAAATAAAATTCTAATAACTTCTTACCTTTCCATCCTTAGATGTCCCTGCAACCTGACCAGTTGCTATGGTAATCCTGTCAGGATGTACTGCTAAGCTGCCAAAAAAAAGGTGGGGAGAGAGAGGAAACATACCTTTATTAAAATAAAAAAATAAAAGCATTTTTATAACATGAATGAAAACAACACTTTTTACTTGATATTTCCTAAAAAATTATTGAGTTGCACAAAAAAACATTCTTATTTTATCATGTATCTTATCTAATATTAAATATTAATCTACAGTACCCTGCAATGCTATTTTAATTTCTTTTATTTCCATTTCTATAAAGATCTAATTATTTGTTTTTCATTACAAAACGTTCAGATTGAATCTATCTCTTTACAATGTCTTCTAATGCTAAAAATATGAAGATGGCTAAAATTGCAGTTGCACCAAATTCTTTGTTCCTTTTGGTCTAATTATGCATATTTTGAGACTGTAGTTTATAGTATATGGGGTAAACTTGTCCCATTCAAATATTATTTCCTATTACTTTAGATACCCACAACCCAGAGGTTCTGACCAGTTCTGAAGAACCAGTAGTGGAAATTTTGAGTAGTTCAGAGAACCGGCAAATACCACCTCTGACTGGAGATTTTACAATATCCTTCCCCTGCCACGCCCACCAAGCCACGGCCACAGAACTGGTAGTAAAAAAAATTGAATCCCACCACTGCCACAACCTGAACTTGGTTTGCTATAGATAAACCAGTACTTAGTTTCAATCTCTAAGCTGTATGTCTTTCATAGTTTTTGAGATTTTGTTTTAGGAAAAATGAAACATTGAGCCAAACAAGACTCAATACTATAGTATATTCTAACCAATACCAGTGAATCCAGGGCCACCACCATTTCTAAGACAATTTTTTCATAGCCCCAGAAATTTGGTGCTAAGCCTGCCATTATGTTTTCTTTATCAGATATAAACTAAGAGATATATCTTTGAATGTTTTATTCTGATTTTTTTTCAAACTTCCCTTTTCCATGGCTTACCACTTCACATCATCATTGTGACCAATGTAATGTCTCTGCAGTTGTTCTTCAACATTATACAATACAACCACAGACGCAATGAAGTAAACAGTTTCTCCGGTTGGTAAGAGGTACAGATTATTACGACAATCCCGACCTCTATAACCATAGCTGGCATCTTAGTTAAGATATAACTGAACATTAGAAGTGACAATAACGTGGAATTCTAGAACCATAAAGTATATACAATAACGCTCCCTTCCCTAACTCCTTGAACTTTACCATTTTCTATCACAGGAACAACTCTGATGGTAACACTTGTTAATGATTATATTAATGATTAAAATTCTAGTTCCAAATTGTAAGAGAATATATTTCCCTTTAAGAAGGTAGATACCTTTTGTAGTATTGTATATATATTTCACATTTCATGGCATGTTATCATAGGTGCTGGTTCAAAGATCACCAACTAGAAAGATCATGAATGCATTTGTGAGCTGGAAGATTTGAAACAATTGAAATTTTGCTCACATGCCACTTTGTAGAAGGATAGAATTTCACATACTGTAGAACAGGGGTGTCAAACTGGTGGCCTGTGAGCCAGATGTGTCATTTGCAAGCCATGCCTACCCCGGCTCCGTAAAGGAAAAAGACATCATGATACATCACCTGACATAACATGACGCAATCAAGTTTGACACCCATGCTATAAAACATTTTCCTTCTTCCACTTAAAATTAAATATCCCCAATAGGAAGAAATTCTTCTCAAAGGGAAACTTACAGCTCTTTTAATCAGCATACTTGATATTAAGCCAACACTATACAACACAATAGCTAATAGGCCATACCAAAATAAAGAATATAACATTGATAAGATCATATGTAAAAGTAAAATAAAAAACAGAAAAAAATGAAAAAATGAAAATTGTATTAAGTAGCTAGATTATTAAATATTAAAATATTAATTAAAATTAGACTAAAAATCAAGAATGGTTTTTTACAGTATTTTAACTAAAATGGAAATTTATTTTTAACTTGTAAAAAACAAAACAGACTTCTGCTTGTAACTTGAAATGTTAATAGTTAGGAATAATTAAAAGAAGGTATACAGCATAGCTAATGTTTTTGAGTAGTATATGATCTTTGTGTTTTTACTGAAAATCTGGATAGTTTTTCTAATAATTGGGTTTTTCATTAAAAATAGTATGGAAATGTTATAAATTCCCTTTGACATGCAACGAGAAACACACAACGTCCTTATATTATAATTAGTAATTACAGCACCCTACTTTTTATTATGTGTCTAATTTACTAATCCGATAGATTTAAACATACATTTTCAGCATGCATTAAACTGAAAATGTGAGACATGATTGATAATATATACATGAGAAACTTCATAACATCAATATTTATTGTGTTCTATCTGTGAAAAATATTAGTTCCTTGAATTTAGATGACTACTATTCTTCATCACATTTACAGATGTAGTTTAAAAATAGTGTATCAAAAATAAGCATTATTTAGTTGAAGTGTGTCCATAAAGAAGGATACACCCATTCCAGTTTAAGCTTTTTGGATGGTAGTTCTGCCTTTGCTTCCAAGCTGTAAGACTCCACCTGATCTTTTGGCATGTACATGGTAACAGGACGTCCACGCAGAAACATTTTAACATATCCTTCCTCTATTGAAAAAAATAAATACATAACAAACAACATTCATATGTAGCATTCTTCCATTTTACCATTTTGTGTCTTTAACAAGTTATGTGGGAGAAATTGGATATTTTTAAAAATAACAACCACAGCCCTTAATTAGTTATTCACACCATTTTAAAAATCTTTTTAGTACACTGAGACTCCATAATGATTAAATATATAATTGGGGGAGGGGGAAGATAGCCTGACTTTAAGAAGGGAGTGACTTTTTTCTATTTCTATCCAACTGAGGAATTAACCTAATTATTATAATTAACGCAGAAAAGTCATTAAAGTAAATTTTACTTTGAATTAAATTTTCACATATCTGCATATCAGTATCTATAATGTTAATTGTAATGACTTCTTAGTTTCAACATAAACTTGGTATTTGATTTGCAATAATTTGTGACCAATCCTCACACTTATAATCTTCATAGGTTTGTAAAGTAAAAGAAAGCTGAAATAATATAATAAGTGAGCCTGGCTCCTGGAAATCTATGGATGTAGCTAAACGTCTAGCCTACAGCCCTGATCCCATCCAAATAACACATAGGACAAAATTTGTCTAACTTTACATATCAGCCAAGGCTGGCTAGATGCAGCTGTTTTCATAAAAGAAAGAAAAATGTGTCTTGACAATAGTGCCAGTTTGTAATATTGATACATGTTGTTAAAGGAACTCTGAAAGCATGAATTCATCAGTATGTTTTTGTTTGTTTTGAAAATGAGTACAAATGGATATTATAAGCTTTGCTATATAATAACAACACCTTCTGTGTTAGCAAAAGTCTATAGGATACATTTTTAGATCTACATCAAGGAACAAATTGTACTCTACTTCTGCACTTAACACTAAAATATATATTGAAATTTGTATTGATTTATGACTGTCAATTTCTTAAACACAGAAGATAGAAAGCAGGTTGTGATTTCTGAAACCTGTCCCATCCTGAATGAAACTTTTTTCTGCTACTTTTTGTAGTCTTTAACCAAAATTCAATGCTAATTTATTTCAATTCAAATCATAATTAATGTTCAGGGTTTTATCTTAAAAAATCTGATTAATACAGAATCTCATAGATAAAAACCACAATTGAATTTTAAGTTTTAAAGCTAATAAGAGAAATGGTTAGAATTGACACATGAAAAGAAAAAGAAAGGTACAGAATAAATATATGATTTTTCCTGATTGTCAGGGATATATGTTTTCAAAAACCATTTCATTTAAGATTGAACTTTAATTTTTCCCACAGTGTTACTGTTTTATGCTTTATGTCTGCTTAAGTTAATTTTTTTCTAATAACACCTAAGTCCTGAAAAAATGTAAGAAATTGCATTTTCATGCAAATAGCATGAAAACATAGTAAAACCATAAAGGAATCAATACACAAAGCAATCACAACATATGAAATTATACTGTATTGCCAAAGGCATTGTTCTGGTATATTGTTCAAGATCAGGTTGATTTATGTAAAAACAATTCTATAAAACCTATTATTAACTTAAACCAACCATGCTACTAATTCCAGGGATGGATTAAGATTTTGCTACACATGCTTTCCAGACCACCCTCTGACAATAGGCAGACTGATCTAAAAAGTGGCATGTCCCATATCAGATAGAAAGAAAAACATATAGTAAGCATCTTAGACATAATAAGACATATAGATTTACAGAGATTAAGCCACTGAATACAAAGTTAAAGAGACAACTGCTGAATGAAACATGGTGAACTACGTACAATAGGTGTAAAGAGCTCTGAAGAGATAATACTAACTGCTTGTGGTAATCCTAAAACACCACCTTAATTTACCCATAAAAGACTGAAAAATTAAAGCAGCACATGGCATATTTAGAATATGGAGTACCATAAAAATTAATAATTAAGATATAATTTTACAAAGTTAAGAATATATTTATAAAGGAGGCATTAGGAATAAACCATTTATATAACTGCAGTACAAATTCATTTAGTCTTCACAATGGAAATGCATAATATGTATGCATTACTATATTGTTATATGTTAATTATTACCAGGCATTTCCAATATTACATAAACACCATTTAAATATTTACATAATATGTAAAATACAGAAATATGCGTTATTCACTTCAACTTTCTTACTGGTGTCATAAGTTAAATCTATCACTCACATAAGGTAATTTAGATAGTGAATAAACACTGCAATTCAATCTAAAGTAAAATGTTGATTTAGGCACATGTTAGATGCTATTTACAGGCACTATCACTGTTTTCAGCCAAACTGCAAAGCAACTATTATTACAGACGATTATGGGATGTTATATAAGCTCTCTTTAACATTTGGGCCTTTTTCTTGGCCATTTATTTAACCAAGGAACCTATATAAACATCCATTAACATTCAGTTCTACAAGATTTACAAGTCAGTAGATGCTCTGCAAGAAGCTGGCTAAGAAAAAAAGGAAAATTGTTTAATAATATTATAGACACACAAGGCATAAACTGCCTTTTACAGGTTCAAACTGCTTGGCCCTGTTAATAGGCTTGTTTAGAGAGCTATGAAATTTTAGAAGCAAGGTCTACCTACCTTTACAACGTGTCACACGGCGCTTCCCTTGTGGTTACAGAGACAGAGATAGAAGTGCTAGATAAAGATGCATTCAAGAACAGTCAGGCTTATCTACATCCCTGCTCTGTGGAGTACCCAGCTGTATTTTATGATCAATGCAGATAATATAATATGTCCCTAATTTGCATTTGTATGAGTACGAAAAATCCAAGTACATATGTAATTTTGTGTAGTTTCTGTAGCTTCCAATATCTTTCACAATCCAAATATACAATCTCAAAAAGCTGACTGAAGAGGAAAAAATAATGTCCCAAATTTTGTTTTACTGCTGTTCACTGGAATAGTATTGGTTCAGGTGATACAAATTAAGGTTTGGCATTCTGTCCAAGCCATTGTATAATCAACTATAAAAGAGACCTACATGATAAAAAATAAAAAATAAATTGGGATTTCCTTGTAAAAATAATAGTTGTTCTGTAATTTGATATCCTTTTAAAAATTCTAATATTTTATATAGTCCAGAACACTTCAAATGAACTGATAGCTTTCTCTGAATGTTTTTATTCGAAAGCCAAACTGAAATATTGTTTTGTCAAACACATGTTCTTAGCCCATATTGCCAAGGTTATCAGAAATTGGGGGAAGATATTTACAGGGAAAATAAAAGAGCAGATGAGAGAAAACCTGTTTTAACACCACATTCCTCCCTGCCAATTCTGTCCTCAGAGTACTCTTCCACATTGGCTAATTTCTAATTCTGGGGTCAATTCTTGATGGGATAGGATTTAAAAATGCAAAAATGGTGTTTAACAGGGAAATTCAAGAGGCCCACTCTAGCACCTCCACTCCTTCCCATCAGTTCTGTTCTGCATATACTGACTTTAAAACAGACACGGATATATGAGGATTTATATTATGCAAGGAACATTTTACACATCCAATTTAAGCACTATCTTTAAAATCATAATCTTGATCCATATTATTATTGATAATTTAACAAGTGAACTGGTAGTATTTACAATGAAGTGACAATGAACTCTGACTGGCAATGTGTACAACTAGATCTTGCAATTTCATAATTAAATAGAACTGCTTCTTCTAAAACAACGTACTCTGTCTGTCCTCTTAAAAATAGCTCTCCTGACTTACAGTATTGGTACTCTACTGATTGTATGGATTATACTGACAGGGTACTACAGTGTGTATAAACTATCCAGTGTGAACTGTTCGCACAGGATTGTGCAGTGTCAGCCATAGAATACCCTGTTTGATCAATTCCTATATTGCTACTATGTAGTGGAAATCCATAGTCAACAAAGTCTTTGAGATAAAACATATACGTTTGGTATGCTGCATGAACACAGCAATTGTGTTCCATTAACCCAGGTTTATTATATTTGGAACTGCAGCTTTCTATTAAGGAAATGACATATTATTCTGAGGGAAAGACTGACAAATATTAAAATTATTGAATAAAATATTGACTTCTTTTAAGATGGTAGCAATATAAATAGCAAATAAAAATTTAAGTTTATAAACTTTATGGAAAAGTAGTTTGTTAAAATGTGAACTTTACTGCAATTCAGTAATCACTACAATGAAATCTAGGCTATGATTTAGGAACCAAAGTATAATAATTCTGCTAACCAATGACCTAGAGGAAGTCTTTCAAATATTCATATTCTTTATTAGAACAAAAGTTATATATTTTTATGAAACAATAAAGAAAAGAAAACAATTACCTGCACTGAACATTGGTTCCTTGGGTTTGCTGTAAAAACAATCAAGAAATATTATTTTATATAACATTGAACCCATACATCCTTCCTTCCAAACATCCTGTCCCTGAATGCCCCTTGTACTTTTGATTAATTCTTCTCCTTTGATATCATCATTCATTCTAAGTCTCTCTCTTAAATTAATATATCTAATTTCTACTCTGCTGTAGTCAAATGACTTTTAGAGGCTGACAGAAGCTATAAAAAGTTACAATATCCACAATCTAATTAAAACCTGAAACAAAAAATAATAATGAACAATAACTTTTTCCCTTTCTTCCAAAAAAGGGGGGAAAGAGATGGCATCTTGTATAACGTAAGAAAATAATCTCCAAGACAGTTTGATTTTCAATATTTTCCTGAAAACTCTAATCTGGTACCTGTCATGAGGCTGTTCTAAAGCATCCCTATTACTACAGAAGATAGAACCAACTGGCTTCAGAACCCCAAAATTCTTGAAAACATGAGACTTTAATAAATAACTTTTTCCCTAGATGTTTTAATAGGCTATAGCAAGGGTCTTCAAACTTGGCAAGTTTAAGACTTGTGGACTTCAACTCCCAGAATTCCTGAGCTGACATGGAGGAATTCTGGGAGTTGAAGTCCAGAAGTCTTAAACTTGCCAAGTTTGAAGACTCCTGGGTTATAGTATACCAATGCTAGTTGAAGTACATAGTCTTGCAATTACTCAGGAGCCAAGACACAAACAGCTTTATGTGCTCCTATTGTTAATTGCTAATAAATATGCAGACTGCCACATTTTGGTCCAATTATAGTTCCAAGTGGTCTTTAGGTGAATCCTTAAAGACTGTTTGGAACTATATGGTGTTCCACTGTATATCACTGTAACTCTGATTCAACATTCTAAAACTTGCTTGTATTTTTAGATTCTCTTACCCTGACTATTTTAAACTTCCGACCAATTCTTGTTGCACTGTAGTACCGTGTTTCTCCAACAATACGGCCTCCACCAATAGGAAAGCCCAGCATGATTTCTAGGCATGAGGTGAAATTAAGTCCCGCCCCCAAAATTTAGGCCTATTTAAACCATGCGTTTCCCTACCATTTCTCACATTGTTTGTTAGAACTACATGAGGTGAAGAGAAATGGGGGGGAAGGGGGGAGAAAACTTGCCTTCAGAAGAGCCCTGCAGGTAGCCTCAACTAGAATACCCTGATCTACTACCGATAGAACATCTGCTGATAAAAGCTCCCCGAAGGCAGAGTCACCAACTGTTTCTATCAGCTGGTAGAAGCGGCCTTGGGGCGAGCGCTTATGCGCACGCCCCTCGCCACGAGGCCATTTCTATCAGCCGATGGAAGCTCCCCAAAGACAGAGTCACCAGCCGTTTCTATTGGCCGATGGAAGCTCCCCAAAGGCAGAGTCACTAGCCACTTCTATCGGCCGGGAGAAGCGGCCTCGGGGCAAGCGCTCACACGTACTCCCCTCACCACGAGGCCATTTCTATCAGCCGATAGAAGCTCCCCAAAGACAGAGTCACCAGCTGTTTCTATTGGCCAATGGAAGCAGCCTCGGGGTGAGCGCTCACACGCACTCCTCATGCCACAAAGCAGTTTCTATAGGCCAATGGAAGCTCCCAAAGGCAAAATCACCAGCCGTTTCTGTCGGCCGATGGAAGGTCCACAAAGGCAGAGTCACTAGCTGCTTTGGGGTGAGGCGTGGCTATGCATCAGGTTCCCAAGTGCAAACTCAATCGCGTACATATGCTGTTGTCAGAGTAAATATCAGACGACCCAAGATTCCCACTGCATTTCTGCTTCCCGAGCCAGCCGCTCTTCTTCGTCCCCTCAGTTAGTCCTATTTCCCCTGCCCCCAATTTCCCACTGCAACCACTTGTATTGCAGGAAGGTCGCTAAAGAAGCTGTTGTCTTCTTCTGTCCCGCTCTTTTAAACTTCTCTCTCCAGCCTTGGAAATCCTCCTCTGGGGACCCCATCCCAGCTCCAATCCTGCTTAGCTTCCAGCCTAGACAAGCCCCTCCCCAGGTGTGCTCTGGGAATTCAAGGACCAGTTCTGCCCCCCCCATCTCTGACTATTGAGCAGAGCCTTTGGGGAGCTTCCATCGGCCAATAGAAACTGCTTTGTGCCCATAGAAGTGGCTGGTGACTCTGCCTTTGGGGAGCTTCCATTGGCCGATCGAAACTGCTTCGTGGTGAGGGGAGTGCATGTGAGTGCTTGCCCCGAGGCTGCTTCTACCGGCCGATAGAAATGACTGGTGACTCTGCCTTTGGGGAGCTTCCATCGGCCAATAGAAACTGCTTTGTGGCAAGGGGAGTACGCATGAGCACTCGCCCCGAGGCTGCTTCTACCGGCCGACAGAAATGGCTGGTGACTCTGCCTTTGGGGAGCTTCCATCGGCCGATAGAAGCGGTCTCATGGAGAGGTGAGTGCACATGGGGCGCTGTAGGTGGGGGTGTGCCTGGGGGAGGAAATTAAGTCACCCCCAAAAAGATGTCCCAGCCGTTTTTTCGGGACTCAAAAAAAAAAAAAAAAGACCCGGCCTTATTTTATGAGAAACATGGGAATTTCTTCCATTCAAGAAATACTTGAATTAATTAATATCCACTTTTATATTCTACACTAGACCTGGGCTGTCAAACTCGATTTTATTGAGGGTTCTATTTGACCTCAGGGGCCAGGGTAGGCATGACCAGCTCGATGCCACTTGTGTCGGGGGTGCCTGTGGTGGCCTGAGTGCTCTACCAGCAAAATCAGGTTCCCGAGCTCCATTTTCAGGTGCAATGGTGCCTTGCAACACTCTGCCAGCAAAAACTGAGCTTGGGAGGGCCACCCGCAGCCCTAGCAAGCTCTGGTTTTGGCTGCAATGGCCTCCTGCAAACCCTCTGCCAGTGAAAACAGAGCACAGAGGCACTGTGGGCCAGTCCTTTGTTTTCAGGATGGCCCCGCAGGCCAGATCTAAGCACCTTGTGGGCCGGATCTGGTCTCCGGGCCTTGAGTTTGACACCCCAGTCCTACACAGTGCTTCATTTTAGGTCCAACACTGGCTCCACATCCATTTTACATCTATTTTTATCTCATAACTGAAATATTCATTATATGAGCATTTCATTTTTTTTCTCCTTTAAATTCCTCCACAACATGTTTGTTTACTTACTTGCAAGGTCTTCAAATAGTCACTTGAGAATTTTTATGGGCTATATGCCCTTGTAGAACCTGTTTAGAACTTTCTAGAGTTTACAGTATTCTTTGGTGGGAGCCTGAATTAGTAGAACTTTGACATAGACCAGTTCAAGAAACAAACAGAGCAGGGATAATGGGAACATTCTTCGTTGTAATAAGGGATAATAATAGTCTCTTAAAAATCTGAAAGTTTGGCAGTTCAAGAAAAAGGCACAGGATCTTAATTTACTTATCATAGAACACCCATCATGGACTGAAGAGAACAGAAGATTTTTTCTTCTTCAAAGGATTACTTGCTAGATCAAGGCCAGTTGCCATTACATCTAACTGAACCAGAGAAAAGGGGAATCTTGCCATTAAAGTGACTTATAGTCACTTATAGTCAACTCTAGAATTTGGAAGAGTTGATAGGGTAGAATCAAAATAGTTAATTTTAACATTGTTAATCTAAGATCATGATCTATGCATATAAACATATTTACTGTAGTTAATAGAGCTATGATGGTTTAAAACAAGTTGAAGGAATTCCATGAAAGTCATGCAATGGAGTAGGGCTCCCACCAAACAATATTGAAATTCTAGGAGGCCTAAATTACAAAGATCACAATGAAAAAAATATCTTCTCTTAACCTCCTGAGCCCCAAATAAATGTAGTTTAGAAATTCTGCTTTTCATACCAATCACTGTTCTTTTTACCACTAGATGAACTGCTTGTGGATCCAGCTCGATTACGATTGCCTTTGGAATCTCCATAACTTTCCCTCCGACCACCAGGAGAAACACCTTCAGCTGAGTTGGTTCTTTTAATAGTGCTAATATAAAACAATAATACTGATTAAAGACACAATCATTAGCCTGTATATGCTGAACTCTTTCAAAGTACACCTCCCAAACAATTATCCTGGTAATTCAGCAGCCCCCACCAGAGCTAGCTTTTTACCCAGCTGCTAGGGTAGAATGAGAATAACTGGAGCTGGCTTTAGGACATCCAAGAGATAATTGAGGCAACAGGTTTTTGTTCCTTGGCATTGTGGTTCATGGCTTCATGGTTTATGATTTATTATTGTGAGCCACTCAGAGTTGTGTTTAAGATGGCATCCATACAAATCTTTTAAGTAAATACATCTCTCTTAAACTGAAATTACTAATCTGTAATTTCAAATTGAAGAGGAGTAAGATAGATTAAAAGACTTTCAACATAAATTAAGTTCCAGAAGAATAAAATAATATAGTAAGAAAACTGATTTATGTGGACCAGATATTTAAATCATATTCTGATTCTTATTATTAATAGAGAAGAACAGAGATTCTTAGTACAAAGTTATCCAGAAATATAACATATGCATGGGTAGGTCCTCCACACAGCAAATTGACAATAAAAGTCCAAACTAACTGTACCTTTAAGGCCAATAGCAGAGTTAGCCCTGTACAGTACTGAATGCATTCCAGTAGTCTGAACATTATAGTATGTACGGGAACAAAAAGTGTTTACTTGACGTATCAATGAGGCTAATAATGGTCAACCTTTGGCACTAGTCACTTGAGCCTCCGGTGACAATAATAGTCATAGGAGCAATTTCAAATTTCTATTCTAAGAAAATGTAAACTGTTTTAAAACAGTGAAACTCACAATTACCACACCAGAAATCACATACCATAAGGTCTCCAACTTAGAAGTAGATTTACAACCATTCGTTTACTAATCGTTTGAAGTTACCACAGCACTTAAAAATATGACTTATGACCAGTTCTCACTCATATGACCATTGTAGCATCCCCACAGTCACGTGATCAAAATTAGGTGCTTGGCAAACAGCATGGATTTATGATGGTTGCAGAACCCCAGGGTCCTGGGATCTCCCTTTCTAGGAGCTTCTGACAAGCAAAGTCAATAGAGGAAGCCAGATTCTCTTAACAAGCACATGGTTCATTTAACTGCAGTAATTCACTTAACAACCTTAGCAAAATACTCATAAAATGTGGCGTGACTCTCTTAACAACTGCTTTGCTTAGCAATGGAAATTTAGAGCTCAACTGTGGTTGTACATTGAAAACTGCCTTTATTCATATTCCATCTCAGGTTATTAGCCCTCATCCACCCAGAATGTGCACATCCTCTCTTTGTTCAAATGTTATAGTCAAAGAGCAAAATATCCTCAGTTTATCGATGACATAATGCCGCAGATCCATAGATAACCAATGACAGCCATTTCATATAGTAGTTAATAGCAATGAGGACTAAATAATGCTTTGTGGCATCTACAGCCTAATTACCCAATGTTATTTTTCAGACCACACCAAAAAATTGTCAGACATTAGATAGAATCAACAAAAAAATAATCAAACCAATCACAAGTAATTCTGTTCCTAAACTAGGCCTAAAACAAATCTGAAAAATCTTGAACTAATCAATGTCCACAATGATCCCCTTTTGACAAATTCAGATAAACTAAAATGGGTGGATGTCAAGATAGCATCACTGGACAACTTTAAATGTCTGACTCAAAAGCTATAAGCTATTCCATGCAATTAGACCTGTTGGAAATGGATAGCAGATAATATACAATATTTCATTAAAAAGAGGGTTTTAGTTGGTTTAAATTAGTAATTTTATTTCAAATTTGTAAAATTTGTCAAGCAGATCTTTGAACTCTCTAATATATTTTCCAATGTAAATGGTAAAGCAATATCAGCCTAAAAATTCTGCTTGTTGACTTCTTGAGGATGCAAGAGAGCTACATAATGCCAATATGTTTTTTGCACATAGTATTACAAAGCAACTCACATTCTACTGTACATTTGATTTTCATTTTCTAAGACAAGAAATTTACATTTGTCTTGTACTTTGCTTGAAACTCTTCCTTTGATAAGGAAACACAGGTGAAATCATGTTTAAGCATGATTTTTGACTGTGCCCACTTAATTAACATACCATCCAACTCAATAGTTAATTAAGTTGCTAATCAGCGTGCCAAGCAAATATTAGTGTAGCAACAAAGGAAATAAAATTAAGCCCTTCTAAATATAAAATTATTCTCAGAGGGATGTATGATAATTTACTTCAACCATTTTTCCCTTTTGCACTATGATTTTTTAGCCACTGCCAAATAATGAAAAAGCTGATTTCATTAAGAAATATGGGATAAAGGTATTACATATATGTTGCAATATTAATAAAAATCCCTCACCTTGGAATAGTTTTTATTTTGCGTGCACTGAATAGACTCACAGACCTGTTTAATCCATGGATAAGGTGTTCATAAGCAAAAAGAATAGTGAATGCAGTAAATCAAAATGTAAGAACAAAGAACATTTATATCTATCTTGATAATGCAAGATAGGAATTCCTGACAGTGTTTTGAATGAGATACTGAAGATTATGAAAACTACCATAGGTATGCATATAGTAAACATATCAGATTTTTAAAAAATTTAAAGTGCGGAGTCTTGAGGGCTGGTGACCACTTAACATTTTGGAGAGCAGAATATACTGTAGAATAGGCAAACAAGGATGTATTTTTATGATAATAAAAGGTATTCTGCCTTTTATTCAGGAGCTCAAGGCAACATACCTAGTATTTTTCCGCACAATAACAATCCTATGAGGTAGGTTGGATTGTGTGACCAAAAATTTTCCATGACCTTCAGCAAGAGAATCTATATCATTTACAGGTAGTCCTCAATTTATGACCACAGTTGAGCCCAAGATTTGTGTTGCTAAGTGAGACAGTTAAGTGAGTTTTGCCCCATTTTATGACCCTTCCTACTACAGTTGTTAAGTAAATCTCTGCAATTGTTAAATTAGTAACATTAGTTAGTTAAATTTAACATTAATTAGTTAAACATTAAACTAGTTAAGTGAATCTGGCTTCCCCATTGACTTTTCTTGTCGTAAGATTGCAAAAGGTGATCACATGATCTGGGGCACCGCAAATGTCATAAATGTGAGTCAGTTGTCAAGCATCCAAATTTTGATCACATGATCATGGAGATGTGGCAACAATTGTAAGTGTGAAAAATGGTCAAAAGTCACTTTTTTCAGTGCTGTTGTAACTTTAAATGGTCACTAAATGAACTGTTGTAAGTTGAGGACTACCTGAACATGAACAGACCTAGAATCTTCGATTTTTTCTCAGGTTTTGGGTAAGTGAGGGACTGACTTTTAAAAAATGAAGTTAACTTTATTTTAGCACTTATATTTTTATATTTTTGTCTCAAATGGTAGGAAACCATGTGATTAATTTTCAGTAATAGAAGTAATGTTGAATAAGAAAGAATATGAAAGAAAAAGGGGGAGGCTGCAGGTTACTGATCCTTAATTTAAAACAATACAACCCTTCAACAGGTACAACAGAAACTTCTGTTAGACAATAGCATGGTAATAACGTATGTTTTTTACAAAAAGAGACCCACAAACAATGAATTATTGTATATAATCTGGAATACCAGACATTTTTTAAAATTTACAATATGTCATCGATACATTAAACCAATCCTCTGTGCTCATTGTTACCGAGAACAGACTACTGGAAATAATGTGATAATACGATACAATGGAGGGCAATCATATGCAGTAGAAAGATGCTTAAAAAGTTTCAACAGGAGAGAGACATATTTTAAAGAACAATATTTCTTAAACCATGAAAAACCTATCCCACCTTGAGTTAATGTTGATTACTAGGCAATCACACATCTGATATAGCTTTAGAAGTTTTTATATAATAAGATACTGAACCTAAATAAATAGAAGAATAAAAATAGATATAATCATAATAGCTATTTTATTATTATTTTTGTAACTGTAATGAAGACTGATACTGATACACCCATACAAGTCTTTATTTAAAGTTAACACATGTGAGACTAGGTGGCAATATAAATTTCCAAATAAAATAAAATAAAAATAAAATGTAAGTTATTCTCTTCATAAAGAGTGAAATTATTTCGCTGACTTTTATTTTAGTAGCCAAACCTTTATTCCTTTATTTTTTTTTCTCTTTGACCCAATTTACACAAAAAAAAATCCAGCACATATGCAATTTGTTTGCGTTCCTTTACTTATAAATGGGAAATGATGGATTTGGCCATATGCGCAGTTCTACAAAAACTGAGGCAAAACCTAATCACTTTAAGGCCTAAGAGCACACCCCTGAATTTGGACATGCTGGAGGTAGTATAGGCTAACTTGTTCCCTTCTTTATTATGATACTGAGAGAGTACGGATGCAGTAATTTAACATCTCTTCCCCGCTTTCTTTCTCTCTGTCCCATTCACATACAGGACAGGACAGAAGGTGCATTCTTAATTTTATACTACTGTATATGAATATGCACATGTATAAAGGAATTAAGTTGCACAAACTTGTTTCATCCAATACTGGACAACACTGCGTAGAAGTGATTGCTATATTAAATTACAGCATGCCTAAGAAGTCTGAAATATATCTGTAATTACTGTCAATTTTCCTTGTTTTCATTGCACCAATGCATATTTGATGCTGTCATTAAAATTCATCATCTTGATTATTGTAACAGTAAACAAATTTGTTGGGAATATCTAGTGAGATATTAGAAGCTCCTAGACAGGGTGAAAAATGAACATAACTTACTACTATCATGAAATAATGGTTACTGCACAACATAGATGTTTGCCATTTCCTCAATTAGTAGAAACCGAAAAATCTGCAAATCGATTTGTGGAATTAGTATTAGTCACAGATACTATTTTTTTATAAACTTTGGGGAGATGGACACTAGTATAGAATGCATGTAGCTATGTGATACAAGTCTAAAATGCACTCTTTGCTAATAAATGACACATTCAAAAAGGTTAGCTATATCTTTCTAGCAAAACTGAAGGCAGATCTTACTATGATATGTTATCTGAAGTAGAAACTGGGACAGGGGTTCATAAAACAGATGTGGTTCTCTTTATATAGCATGTTCTACTCCACTATCATCCACAGATCAGTTGCTGGGTACCAGGCAGAGTGAGCTGCCCAGTTAAATGAGATAAGCACTTTTGCTCACCTATTCCACTGTACAGCAATCTGTTCGGATTGCTTTAAAAGAGTTTAAAAGAACATAAACCCGCAGTCAAAACATCTCTAGCAAACAAAAGTTATCATTGGAAGAGAGCATGGCGAGATGGAAAACTGCTCAGAATCTCAGGGAAGGGAGCATGCTTACACTCCCCAAAGTGGCCAATAGGGGTCAGGCTCTCCCTAGAGCCTTGAAGTCACCTGAATACACTCCTAAATGATTCAACTGGCAATCACATTTGAATATATTCATGCTGCCAATATTATCAGTTAACGAGGAACACATCACTCCTTTACAATTTAGTTGCAGTTCCAACATGCTTTTCCTCCCAAGAAACTGAAGTATAAATAATCCAAATTCTGTATGATAATATTATTCTCAAAAATAAGAGCTGTTGATGGGTTTCAGCTATAACTTGAAAATGGCTTGTAATTTTACCTATCAAAATCTGATAAAATACAGTATAAATGTTTTTGTAAAACTATTTGAAATAAAAAAAATAGGTATAAAACGACTTAAATAAAAAACATTGAGGAAAAAAATAATTAAAGCACTGTGAATAAAATAAAATTTCCAATCCTTTTGTTATAACAAAACCAAAAAAGAAAAAGTAAATAATTCAGAGTAGGTAAGTTTATTATAATGAGAAAGTTATGGGTACCCTGGCCTTCACTCTCCTTTTTACTGGTCTATTAGTGGATGTAAGTATTTACAGTCTTTTCCCATGCTAACAACATTAATATATTTTCTATGGTACTCGATAGTGAAAGAATTAAACACAAATAAAACATCTGAAAATAGTCTAATACATCATCTCATTAATACAATGATTCTTATTAATTATTAACAAAATTATGTTTGTTATATTACTTTTTAGAAGACAGTCAGAAAATGAGTTAAGATTGGTACTAAGCCATTGACTGAAAATAGCAATAGCACTTAGACTTATATACCACTTTATAGTGCTTTACAGCCCTCTCTAAGCAGTTTACAGTATCAGCATATTGCCCCCAACAATCTGGGTCCTCATTTTACCCATCTCGGAAGGATGGAAGGCTGAGTCAACCTTGAGCCTGGTGGGATTTGAACTGCCAAACTGTAGGCAGTTGGCTGCAAAGGTAGCTTGCAGTACTGCATTTTAACCACTGCGCCAGAAGCTCTTATTACTTTATATAAAATATTACTGAGAGAGAGAGAAACATGCAGTAATTTTAAAACTGAAGATAAGCAGTATATTAACAACTTGATAATACCTTTTTGCTGCTGGTGATACAATTTCTTTCCTGGTTCCTGATGGAGAAGGTAGAGAACCACTAGATTTCTTTGGTAAGACAGTTCCATTATTGACAGTAGTCTTTAAAGGCAGTGTTTGAACTAGTGGTCTTGCTGTGAAATGAAAATAAATAAATAAATAAATAACCAAACAAACAAATAAATAAATGCTGAAATTTACAAGTTCAGAAGTGCACACAATACTTGAAGTAAGACCTGATTATTGCAGAATAAAGTGGAAATATGACAACCCATTATTTAGAAAATTATCTTGTGGCAACTGGAGATATATATATATATATATTCAATTTGTAATTTATTACTTTTGGAAGATCCTTATAAGGACTGAACCTTCCATTCTATATCTGTACATTTCTTTCTTTTTTAAAAGATAAAACATAGCATTTTTAAGAAGTTGGTTTGCTATTTTCAGACCATTTCTTTGATTTATTGAGACCATTTCATTTTTTAATTTTCTAAACTCTTAATGATTCCACCCAATTGTATCATCTGCAAATCTGATAACTTCTCCATCTATGTTATTAGTAAGAAATGCTGAAGTATATAGTCCAAGACTGAATCCCTAGTATTTCCACTCAACACTCTACATCATTTTTATATGAAATCACTGAGCACAATCTTTTGAGAATAATTTGCAAACTAAGTGTCTAGTATCTCACCTTCAATTCAAATCTGATTAACCTGCTAATCAAAATTTCTTGAATGTCTTGTTAAATGCATAGCTGGTATCAATATATAACATTTCCAGAATTTAGTTAGAAATAAACCAATCCAAAATGTGAAGATTAGATTGACAAGACACGTTCTTCAAGATTCTATACTAAATTTATTACTAGTTCTAAAGTTTCCTATTAATTAATGTTAGACAGGTTGACCTTGTTGTTCCCTGGTGTCTGCTGTTCCTGTTCTAGAAGGTAGAAACAATATTTATTTGCATCTTATTAATACAGAAATTCACTCATTTGCCAGATTTTCAGAAAGTCCCATCAGAGCCTTTAGCATATTCCTTCTAGCCCTGAAAATTGGAATTTATACAGAGCAGTAGGTAAGGAAATTTCACAACTGATGCTTTGTTGTTTGCTATATACTTCAGCTACATGACTGTGGCAAAAACTGGTTAAATGGTCAAATAGCTCATCCTTGATATGGAAGTATAAAAAGATTTTGAGAAACAAATAATCTTCCTAATCCTATAAAATAAAATGTAGGACAGCACCAGGTACATAAAATATGTCAGTTAAAATGTTTAGATGTTTTACTAGATATACAAGATAATGAAAAAGGTCAGGTGTTGTTTTCTGTGCCATGAAATACAAATATTTAGAGTATAATACTGCAAAAACACAGAAAAAAATTGGTATACTTTAACTTACATTCTTTGCATTCATTAACACAACCAAAAATATTCAGACAGATGAACATTAGCTAATATTCATAAAAAACAGAAATATTAATAGAATGAATTCCAGTTAAATTTAACAGAAAAGTAACCTGAGACCTGATTAGAAATTTGGAAAATACTTATCTGGGTACACTTCTTAGAAACTTTTTTAAAAAGTATACATTAAATTCAATATTCACATTAAACCAATAACTATCCAACTCAAAAAAATATTATGCAAGAAATATTCTCAGATAATTCCGTTTATCTCATCATAATAACTGGTTAAAATATTTTCATTGTAACTTATACAGGTGAACTTGAATGGGAAGTTAATACCTTTGGTAGGTCCTTTCCTGTTCTGCATGGCCTGTTGCTCCTCAGTAATATTTAAACGCCTAACGACATCTGCCAGAGCGGACTTGAGCAACTGAATGTCGTCTTCTTGCATCTGAACACGTTGTTCAAGTGAAGCTATGCGATCTGTCACCTCCATGCTACTGGCAGCAGAAGCACTGTCATCTAAAAACACATATGTATTTTATTTAATTGTATTAATTAATTTAAAACATTTATATTGCTGCTTATCATCTAACCAGCTTTGGACTGCACTCAATTAAACGTTAAAACCTAACCCTTACTTTGAAGTCCTGTTACATTATGCTTGCTTCAAGCTAAATATTGATATGTCTGCAGCCTAAACATAATTGTAAAAACTATCTGGAGAAAGGACCCCAAAACAAATAGAGAAAGATACAGTTATGTTGCTGCTTTTATTAGAAAACAACCATTCTTGCCAAAATGGAATTCACTTAATTCTCTTTTAAATTGAAACATTCTGCCAGTAATTCATAGAAAATAAAATTTCCCCTTCCCTCTGTAGTTTGTGTATGTGGTCAAAATGTAATTCAAAAAGGTGCACAAAGGTGAATCTCTCCCATTAACTATAAATATCTTCATATAAAGTGTGTGATCCAGATAAACCTAGACAAAAGAAAAATATTCCCTGGTATATTTATTATAGACTAAAAAGCAGGATCTTTATATTAATTCTTGCCAAGAAAACTGCAGGGAGCCTCTGAGAATTGGAAACAATAAAATGGAAGGGAAAAAATATTTAGTTCATCAAGAATGCCCATATGCTTGCACAAAATGCTCAGTGTAAATGGAAATACTCACCACACCATTCTTTTTCTTACTTTATTAATATGTGGTGTCATTGCAAACATTCTTCCTCACAGTGTTTAGTTAAGCATTGTGAACAACTGAATAAGAAGGTAAGAGGGGAAGGTTAAACTATCTTTTAACTGAACTGAGCAAGATTTGAAGAAATATAAACTACAGATAGTCCTTATTTAATGACAGCAACTGGAAGTGCCAGAATTTCCCTTGCTAAGCAACATAAAGCACAACATTACATGACTGCCTTGATTACCAGTGAAAATTCAAACACTTCCAGTTGTTATCGTTAAGCAAATCACTATAGGTCATTAAGTGTGAACGAAGCCGTGAGCATGCATGCAACGCAAATGGCGCCATAAGCACATGTTCAATGCAAATGGGGCCAGAAGCACATGCACGACGCTCACCATGATGCTAGCACAAGTGTGGATGGGTGTGCACACATGTGAGTGCACTGGCCAACCACTCATGTGGCCCAGTAGTGGGCCCCGGCCCACAGGTAGGAGACTCTTAGCCTAAGCCTACATGAGATGAGGAATATGAATACACAAACACATGTACATGTACACAGACAAAATAACTTAAAGATATGTACATACTGATATGCATTGATCGTATTTTGAAAACCATTAAGTAATTTATACAGAATTGTACATTTTATTTTTGATTTGTATGATTGTTCAAGGTAATCTGTGTACTTGTCCAGTCTGTTCTTGTAAATTCAAGGCTCTGGAAATTATTGAATTTAGAAATAGTAGAAAAATGAAAGCCTCAAAGCTTGAAACAAAAGAAAATTTCAGATCATAGTTTTCAGGCAAAGTTAGGTCAGCCCAGAGTTTTTATATTTCATTCTAATTACAGATGCTGATGTTGTACATTCTCTCCTCTTGTGTGTGTAGGAAGGCCTGTGAAGCTTAACCACAAGTAGCTCATAAACTAAGTCAGTCTCTAACTAAGCAATTTCTGCTGTAAATTCCAGAGTCTCTATAATGAAAGGTGGAACAGTTTGTTTTTCTAGCAATGCTAACTGAAAGCAAAAAAATACAGCCTGGTTTTTCAGGACTGTAGATTATGTAATTATGAATAATGAGACATCAAATAGTTTCATGACATGTAGCTGCACAACATATATCACATATGTTTTGAAGCTATAACTCTGCAGTTTTCTGGATTTTTGAGAGGCATCCAATTATTCAATTGGTAAAGCTTTGTTTTTCTATTAATCTTGCTTTTTCATCATAAAACATGATTGAAGTAACCAAATTATATTTTTTAAATAACTATATGGGATTTCAGTGGTCAGAAATCTCTTTTGAGCAAATAGATAATTAAAGAAACAAGAATTTGAAAAGAATTATAGTTATATGAGATAAAAATGTTTTATTTGGAAAAACTTTATTCCAGGTTTGTTTTTGAATTATTTCATTTTTGAGAAAGGTAAACTGCTATTCTAATGTCAGTCATATTATTTGTAGTAGCACATTTGTTAGTGTGGATATATTTTGATTTATTTTTTGCACTTAGTTTAAATATTGAAAGCCACTTGCAAACATTAAAATGCCACACACAGAAACTACAAATTAAGCATCAGAAACTTAAAATTAAGACAAACTATTCGAAACTAATTTTTATATCACTATCAGTCCCAACAAGTGAACTTGGCAAACAGTATTTTTCGAAAAGTGGCACTAAAACCAACTTATTTTTCTATCACTGAATCTCTTAAATCTTGTTCTTACAAAATGGAAAAAGTTCTGTTTTTACTTTACTTTACTTACTAAAAATGCTTAATTTGCATTTTTATCATTATGATCTTAGAAACTACCATTATAATACTGCTATGGATCAGGGGAAAGAATTTAATGTACCATGGAATCAGATAGTCATCTAATTTATCAATGTATAGTTTATGACTTTATGTTATACACATGGTTGTGAAAAGTATCATTTTGTTTTTCTTATATGTTATGGAACAAAAACATATTGTATTTATATTTATGGAATAATGTAGCTCCTTAACTTATAGATAGTCCTTGCTTAACAATCATTCATTCAGTGACCATTCAAAGTTACAGGGAACAAATAGTACTTACACCTAGTTGTCAGTTATGGCTGCCACATGAGCAAAACTCAGGCAATTGGCAACTCACTACACTTACAACAGCAAGAGTACTTCAAATTCTTCCACCTGCCTATCACCCACCAACAGCAGAGCACCAAGAGTATCAAGATCAAGGTAAATGATAGTACTGCTGTATACCACACTGGTAAGGCCATTTGGAATATAGTGTCCACTTCTGGTCACAATACAAAAAGGATGCTAAGGTGCTAGAAAGAGAGAAGAACAATGAATATGATTAGGGGTCTGAAGGCTAAATCCTATAAAGTACAGCTAAAGGAAAGAGGTATGTTCAACTCAAAGGAGAGAAAACTAGAGGTGATGTGATAGCAAATACCTAAAGGGCTGCACAGGGATAGGGTGCCAATTTATTCTCTATGTCACCAGATGAAGGACAAGAAGCAATGAGTAGGCCAGGGTGTCAAACTCAAGGCCTGCAGGCTGTATCCAGCCTGTGGAGTGCTTAAGTCTGGCCTGCAGGGCCGGCCTGGAAATACCAAAGGACTGATCCACAGTGCCTCTGCCAGCCAAAATGGGTCACGGGGAGGCCTCACAGGACCCCTGCGCAGCCCGTTTTTGGCCACCCTGGCCTCCTGCAGCACTCTGCTGGCCAAAAATGGGCTGCGTGGAGGCCTCGTGAAGTCCCTACGCAGCCTGTTTTTGTCCTCCTCACCCTCCAGCAACACTCTGCTGGCCAAAACAGGCCACCAGGAAGACTTGCAGGGTCTCCAATTGGCCACATGGAGGACTCACTTGGCCCCCACATGGTCCATTTTTGGCTACCCTGGCCTCCAGCAGCACTCTGCCAGCCAAAAACAGGGAAGGTCCTATCTTTCCCCACCCCTGCTCCTTGCCCCCAGCCCTGCCAGCCTGCAAAAAACTACAATGCTGATCCGGCCCTCAGAGAAATCCAGTTTGACACCCCTGGAGTAGGCGCTCATCAGAGAGAGATCCAACCTGGAAATAAGGAGGATTATACTGGTGATGTGTGTATCTGAGATGTAGATAGTTTGCGAATGTTTGTAGGCTATAGTACTATGAATTTAAATTGTGGATTTTCTACGTATCTGTGACAGTCATAAAGGCAATTGTACATAAACAAAGATACCTATATTGATGATTTTTAACAGTAATGCTATAAAAAATTTAGCATTGTGGCCTAAGGAGGTTTAGAGGCAGAGATCTTAAATTCACAGCTGTTCAAAATATTTTTTCTCCACCCCCATAAGCAATATTTCATTGGCACAAAGGAAGCTGTCCAGAAAGTAAAAACAATGAGCACTACAGGCTGGGGGGGATATTGTCAGGAACATGTGGTGGCCTCACAGTTCATTTCAACCTGACTCAACAAGTTTCCCAGCATCATTAGGGTCTGAGCTATGTAATCAGGCCTCAGAGACCACTTACCCTGAGCAGCAGCACCCTCTGAGAAGCACTTTCTGCTACTGCACTGTTTGGCAAGCATTGCTTCTGACGTGGTACTGAGCTCTCAAGCAAGAGTAGCAGGGAGTTATGGCTTGATCAAGCTTGACCAAGAAAGACAGGGCAGGAGGCAGGAGGGGGTATACATGAGGGGAGAAATAAGGAGGTAGTCAAAAAGGAGAGCCAAGTCTGATCATTCAGCTGAGAAGACTCAATGCTCACCAAGGAATAAGAAAGACAGCAAGAGAGCTAGGAAATCTGTGTAATAGGTTTCTCAGAGTGTGGGGAAGTAGGTAATGATTTATTAAGTATTACAGGGCCAGAACATCTGCACATTTCCCCTGTATCAGGAAAACACATAGGAACATTCCCATTGCTTCAAGAAGTAGACAAGACAATCTAAGAATTCTCGCCCTTATGACATATTCACGGAGATAAGAGGTGCTAGAGTACATATACCTAGTTTCTAAGATTGTATAACTTATCCAATTTTAATTTTCAATAAATCTGATTAATAAGAGCCCATGAGAATGTATCCTTCTTGGATGTAAATGGCATTCTAGGCAAAGGAAGGAAGAACTTTACCAGGACAAGCAATAAAAAGAAGGAGAAATTAGCAACAAGTAAGACTGAAGGAAAGAAAGCTTATTTTGCTCAACCAGGAGAGAGAAGAGGAAGAAAAGGTGGATTGGCTAACACTAAATGGATGCAAAAATATTAAATATTAACCGATTAATACAATAACACATTGGGGTTCTGGATTATAAAAAAAACATATCACATGCTAATTAATGGAAGT